TTTCTTCTTTAATTTTATTAAGACTGAAAGTGTAGTTTCAAGTGTCACAAGGTGTTACTGATTTTAAGATGTTATGACATCCTTGTGTTCCTGGGACATTTGCTACATGGTAGGGATACCAGTATACCTGCCCCTCATTACCATGGCAAACAGCTGCCCAGGGAGAAGTTCTCTGGCTGAAGCTGTGGAATTCAGAATGGTTGCAGTGATGCTTCAGGGACCAGGGCAGATGGCTCATATGCTTGTCACTCCAAACTCAGCCAAAAATGTGAGAATCTAGCACTGAACTGCTTACAGGCATTCACAACGTTTGGGGAAGCTGAAGGTAGCACAGGCCTAGACATGACCTGCAGGCATAAGCTATGTCAGATCAGAGGAATGGAGGCATGAGGAAAAGGGTGAGAGACGGGACAAGTTGGGCTAGAGGGAGCAGAACTGATAGAAAAATAGAATGAAAAACTTTAAAGAGTAATAACTGTGCTCACAAGGATGTTTTGGAGAAGCACAAAGAGAGCAGGGACATGCAGTATGCAAAATGAACCATTGAGAGGTAACTCTAGCCAGGCATGGTGGCGGAAGCTTGTAATCTGAGCACTCTAGAGGGTGACACAAGAGGATCATTGCAAGTTCGAGGCCAGCCTGTGCTACAAGTAAGTGCAAGGCCAGCCTCAAGTGAATAGTAAGACTGTGCCTCAAAAAAACAAAAAACAAAAACACCTCCACTGAGACTTGCTATGAAACAGGTTGCAATAGAATTGAAAGCTATGGTAGAGACAGTAGGTTTTCTGATCACAGTGTAATTGAGCTAGAAAACATGACAAAATGAGAGCCAGAATATTATGGATGTGTGATTTACTTTTAAAGGAACGCTTCTAAAGAACCCATATGTCAAATGAAAAAAAAATGGAAATTAGAAAATACTTTGAACGAAATGTTATAGAAAACACAGCATGCTTTTATTATATGAGTCCGCTATTGTGTTTGGAGAGAAACACAGGGACATCAGCACATATATTAGAAAAGTGAAAGAACTAAGCATTGAATAGTGCTTCAATCATCTCTAGATGTAAGAAGAATAAAAGCAAAATAAACTCTAAAAGGAAAAGGAAAAAAATGTTAAAGAGAAAATTGAATGGCATAGGAAAAAAATGTGCACTGGAATCTTACCAAGGCCAGAAATTTGTTCTCTAGTAGATTACAATGGTTGGAAAACCCCAAATGTACTAAGTGAGAATGATAAAGAACAAATAGAGAAAGACTTCGAGAACCAGGAGTGCTGTGGTCTAGGCCCTGAATGTTCCTCAAAACACTCAACGTACAGAGGCTGGGCCTTGCGTTGCAGTGGGCAGAACAGGCAGTGATGGAAAGTCCAGACGAGACAGGGAGTCAGTCTAGCCCAGTAAGGGCAAGATAAGGCGGGCTGACCAAATCGGGGCCCAAGATGGGGCTATGCCAGGACTCTGAGGGTCTGATACA